TGGTTTATGTACCGCTGGATACCTTTGCAATTAGAAAATAAGACGACATGTCCCGAAGAGATGGTGAAGAACACTTTCCTTCCTCCCTGTACAGACGTGGAGGTCGTGGCACTGCTCGCCTGAAGAGGGGGGAGGGGTGGATCTGTGGACTCGATTGCCACGAAGAAATGGACATCCTCAGCGGCCGGATGTGTAATGGACATTTATTATGTTGTTGCATTATAAATGTCGCTCAGATTTAGCTTCACCCCACTCGGCTCCGTTCGAAGATCCAGAGGTACTCAAGCATTCATTCGAAAGAGAAATCTAGGAGTATAAAGCGGCCACTCGTTGCCCATATCGTTTTGTTTTTTACATGAATTTTTTCTTTCAAACGATGACTGACCGGAATTTCCGTGTGTACACGTGAATGTTCTACGACATCTTGAGGGGATGAATTCAGCTCACACGGTCACGGCAGGTCTTCGTGAACAAAAATCGACCTACATCAAACCGTACTGGCTCGACGAGAAAAAACATTTATTTCGTGGGCCCACTACGCTGCAGCTTTTGAAAAAAATCACCGGCAAAAAACTGGAGGACAGGACTAAAGGCATTTGTTCCCCGCCAAACAGCTCTTGTCACACTTCATCTGTGTGATATCAACGCGGCAGTTTTATAGGAGACATGATCCCGAGAGTGCGAAAAGTTCCGACTCCAGATTCTCCTGCGCACAGTTGCTGCGATTCTTCAAGAAGGACGTCGAGTCTCTGCGTGAGGAATGGCGAAGCCTGGCACAATAAGGTAGTATCCATCTCTTGTTGAGGTGCCGAATTGTTGCTGTTCCAACAAATTTTGTGGTACGTCCAAAAGCGACATTTATATGCAACAACCTGATAGGTAGACGTAAGCCCTTACTTCCTCGCAGCACAATCTCCATGTTACCTTCTGAGCAGAGGTGGTTTGCAGCACTCTTAGTGATGGCTTAGGATTATGAGAAACCACAATATGAAATGACGTCCAGCTTATTTCCTCAAAGATGAGATACAATTAACATTCGTAGTCTCTGGACCACACCCCCTCGCTCCACTTCATAGAGAATGATTTACACTGCAGGCATGACGCTATCAATCAATGTGTGATAAAAGTGGTGCCATAAAAAACGGCGACAGAACTTCCTCGTGCCAAAATCAACACCATGCGGTTCCGTCCTGCATAAATGTCCCTGAAGTGATTTTAATGGTTAGACTGACGTACGCATTCATATGCAAATATGGATATAAGCATAAATACATGTTTATACATACATATGCATATATGTGTTCAATTGATAATATCAAATGTCATTGCCCATCTTTAAGCAGTCGAGCCGACATGGATATTGCCAGAATTGTTAAATGCAAGGATTACGATAGGTCCTGGAACGGTTCAAAGGCAACGTGGACTGGGCCAATGGTGAAGAAATCAGAAA